ATACCTTGATTGATTTCTTAGAAAAATGGCCTAACCCTGCAAACATTGCCTCTGATCCTGCAACATAGCAGAAAAAGTAAACAAATTAATTTCATAACTCAACTATGTAAAAAATTTAAATTATTTATAGATACTTTAACCTTAAATTAATTTCAATTTTTCTAATTTTCTCAAATTTCTCATTACTCTTTCATTCCATAAGTGAACACTAACTTCATAATATAAAATTATCCACGAAGAATACGTTAAAAACGGAACATACGTGCCACATCAAATCTTTAAGAGACATATATTGTGGTTAAAAGGCTAACGATGTGCACATAAGACTGATTTGTTACCAAAACAAACTTAGAAATTAACTTATAACAAGCATCTAAGTTAAAGGACAGCAAAATGTATTTAGCCAAACATGAAAAGCATCTAAGTTAAAGGACAGCAAAATGCGTTTAGCCAAACATGTATATGATCATAAATTACCTTAATAGTTCCAAACACATTCCATTCAAAATTACTGCCATCTTATTTAACTGTTTTTGGCAAAAGCTGGCTACTTTAACCAGAATTGATTCATGTTCCCCAACAAAAGTGATACATAGCCCAAAAACAAACTACCTACACAGTTGTGATACGGTGGGAGAACTGACTAGGGTTTTGCGTTTATTTTCGCAAATGTTTCGGTTGAGCAAGAGTCGCCACCAACTTTTTATTTTATCCTAAGGAAAGGTTAAAAAGCACAGCAAAAACCTTTGAGATGTTTTCTTGGGTTCGGGGAGTAGATTATAGAAAGGGAAGGTATTAGCACCCTTTCTATCCATGGTTATCCATGGGCTCTTAGTTACTTGCTTAGATCAACTTGCCTTGATTTTCAATTGTTTGAAATGGTGCTTTGTGCATGGTTTTGAAAATGTTTTGAAAAAAGATGCCTTGTCTAGGCAACCCTTGTAACAATTCTTTACTCGAATGTTTTACAAAAGGTGTTTGTCTTTTTGAAAAGATGTTTCAAGGTTTTTTGAAAGTTTGTTTTGAAAGTGTAGTGATGTGTGGTTTGAAAAATAGGCAAGTTTTTTTATTTTTGCAAGTTGACAAGTACTCAAGAGCTATCTACCCTAAAGTTCTCAAAGATTTTTGCTATGTTTTAACCCTTTTAACAATTTTGTTCCACCATTGCATTTGGTGGGAAATCTTGTGTTAGGATGTGAAAGGGACGGGCGTGGGTCATCGTTTAGACCATAATTGCAATGGTGCCAAGTATCTTTGGGCAATTTTTTTCTTTAAGGGACTTGATCATTTTTAGGCAACTTTCGAAAGCGTCAACGAGGGACTATGATCATTTGGTTGTTTTATTTTGCCCAAAGAAACCTAACATGCAATATGGCCCATTATTGAAGGCAACAAGTGGAATACCCTAGGGGTGCAAGTGTGATTAGTGTTGTCCATTTTCATGCTTGTTTATCTTGAATTTAGGTCAAACTATTTTGGTTAATTGATTTGCATACAAACCCTAATTCTAACATGGCATAATTAGAAAGCTTTAAAGTGCGAAAAATAAAGTTCCTAAGTTATTACAACACAATATATGGGAAGGGGGGGTACAAATGTCCAAATGGGGGTATTTTGACAAGAATTAAAATCCTAGACTATTACATCAAACTTGGAATTTTGCAAGGTACTTATTTACACAATATTCAAATAAAAAATAAGATAAATATGCAAAATGCAAAAAAATGTTTTTTATATGTATGTAAAAAGTGTTTTTTATGTGTCAAGAAAACAAAAATAAAAGTACTAATTTTTGGGTATTTTTCATGTTTAGGGCAAAACCCTAATTTTGCTAAAATAAAATGATATTAATTATTTAATATATACAATATTTATTAATTATGTACACAAAATAAATACAAGAGAAGTATATTTGTCAAAAGGGTATTTTTAATATCAAATATTAATAAAATAAAAATGTATATATTTTTGTATTTTTTAACCTAAATATACTAATAAATATATATTTATTTGTATTATTTACTAAATATATTAAATATGTACAAAAAATAAAATATTTAATATTATTAAAAAAAATATATTTTTTATACAATGTTTTCAAGAGATAACATAAAATAAAAATCAGAAATAAAATATGTTTGTATTATTTTTTAGTTATTTTAAATAATAGTATTTATGTATTATTTATGTACAAAACTAAATGAAACAAAATAAATGTCAAAAAATGCAAAAAAATGTGAGAAAAATAATTTTAATGTTTTTTCATGTTTAGACAAAAATATAAAAACAAAATCAAAAGGAAAAAATCAGAAATAACAAAGATATCTCAAAATGGGCCAGGGGGGTGCAACTGTAAAAGCATGGTGTGAAAAGAAAAACATTTCAGGCCCAGCCCAGAACCTATCTTCTTCAACCTCCAGCAAGCCTTGTTCAAAAAAACGCGCGTTTTGTACATTGATTCAAACATCCTGATTCCTGGACTTTCAGCACAAACTCATAACATAAAAGATGTCAAGCATCAAGTCACGATTCCATACATATAAAAAACTCATCTTAACTCTCAGAAATGAGAGAGAATTTCTCCATTCCTAATTCTTAACCTAACTTTTTATCAATGTTCAGACCTCAAATTCTCATAGCACAGGCAAAATAAATGGAAAGTAAAGATATGTATAGTTTCAGGGACATGAGCATGACATTTTTCATTCACAAACTTAGAGCTAATTCTTCCTATATTGAGAGATAGAAGTTCATGAACTTACCTGTTCAGTTGGAAAGTAATTATTTGTATAGCTTGCTTGATGTATGAGGATGCTATTCCAATACTTGGTATGCTTTGAAACCTTCTATATCAAGCTGCAGAAGTCAACCTGCAAGAGGAAGAAATGAAAATGGCAAAACTGATTAGAGGTGTTACAGTCTGCTTCTAATGCTTTGGACAGTTTGTATGGATGGTAGGGAAAGTGTTTGAACTGGTTTTGGCCAAGATGCACGATGGAAATGAACTATGCCACTCAAACTGCAGGGATGCCCTGTTTTTGTGCAGTTCAATGGTGATTCTGTGAATGGGGAGGTATTGGAGGTGATAGGCTCGTGTCTCAGGTCAGGATGGATGTTTAGAATGTGTTTAACAAGTTTGCTTAAGTTGGTCTTGGCAGAAATGAGAGTTGGGAGTTGTTATGCAAGGTTTCTTCAACTTTAAGCAACAAAGTGTCAAGTGGTTTTCTAGACTGATGGAGGCCCCTCTAATGTGCTGCTAAGCTTTCCCTTGATCAGTGGGATTATCCTAATAACTTGTGCCAAAGAGATTTGCTGTGTACCTCTTGATTTGCAAATTGACATAAAGCTTCACTTTTTCAAAAATGGACATAATGCTTTTTCTATTTTAGGACTAAACCTTCATGTAATGCTTAAACACATAATGCAAGGCTTGAACACAAAGCGCTTGCATTTAATTATTGAGTGTAAATGGGATATAGGACCTGTAATCAAGTTGTGCAAGCTGATTTGAAAAATTGCATAAGTTATGAACATGTACATGGCCATGAATCAAAGTGACTTTTTCCTAACTTGCCAAATTCGATTCTCTCTAACCATAAGGTTGTTTGATGAGTTCTTGGACATTTTGGAAAGCTTGGAATGTGTACTACAATCCATCTTTGTAATGAAAATTAAAATTCCAAGTGGAAGCATGTGAAAAGTTGCCATGAAGTTAGGCAAAAACCTTGCCTAAAATAGGTCAAAATTTCTCTAAGTTAAGAATGGTTTGGTACCCTTGTTCCAAAACTTGTAACTTGAGCTACAAGCTTCTTTTGAGGAAACTTTGTGAATCAAAGTTGTAGATTTTGCAATGGGCTACAACTTTCATGTTTTGACTTTTCCTTGAATCCAAATGAATCTTGGTGAGAAAGTGGGACAAAGTTAGGAAAAAATTAGGGTTTTTCATAACTTAGAAAAATTCTAAGTTATGAAAAATCTTCATTTCAAACCCTAATTTGCAATTCTTGATTTCTTGATGAACAAGTTTCATGATTTGGCATGTTTTGATGAAAAATGAATCTTGACACTTGATTTGGACCAAAAAGTCAAAGTTTGACTTTTTCAGTATACAATCAAAATTGATCAATTGACTGGAAAATTCAACTGTCAATCTTGTGCATTTGGGATCTTTTGAACTTGTTGAGCATGTCAAGACAATTCCATTGGGTCCTTGAGTCCATATGTGAGCTTGGTTTGCCATTGGCTTGGTCAAACAGTCAAAAATTGCCTTTGTGCAGTCAAAACTCTAAAAATGACCATTTTGCCCTTTTGGTGATCTGATCAAATTTCTTGTGGAATTGTGATCCAAACTTTATCAAATGGTTCATATGAGTTCATTATGTTGATATGGGTCAAAAATCATGAGGTTTGACTGTCAATTGGCCATAGTTGACTTTTTCCCCAATACAGCTGATTTCTAGGTCAACTGTCCAATTGACTGGGCAAAGTTTGGAATCAAGGCTTGAAACTTGGTATGGATAGACTGGGGAGTCCAACATGAAGCATGAAAGTCATCTTAGGAATTTTAGGTCAACACATCTTTGTGCAAACACAAACCCTAATTTGGCTCAACAGTGCTAGGAGAAGTCTTGAGCAGAGGAAACCCTAACTGGATCTTGAGCTCCAAGGGCCTTGTGATGAGAAAATGGGAGGGCAAATTTTGGGGTACAGCAACAGTTTTAAACCCATTCCATCCAAAATTACTTTCATATACTAAAGCGTTGTTTTGGCAACAGGCAAGAAGACCATAATGCTTAATCTTCCCGAACAAAAATCCATACAAAATTAAAAAGCATCAACAAAATTTTATAACAATATTACCCGAGCAACATCCAAAGTGTCAAAACAACCAAAATCTTCATTGTAACAACATTTTGCCCATTCATGGATCAACCATCACAACTCACAACCGGAAGTTTGTAATCTTCGACAGCACTACACTTGTTCATATGCAAAGTACTTCATCTTCCAACAATAAGAGGATTCTTGTTCTTGTAAATGTAATAGCTCATACACAATTTCTCTAAAGTTCCAACAGAATGCTGCATAGGATTTAGCTTTATATCCATCATCATTCTCTGCCATAATAACAACAAAACATTAAACAACCTCCTAACAGCAACATTTTCACTTTACAATGTTAATATATCTTCAATTGAAATTAACATGACAACAGATCAAACCTGAAAATCAGCTCCATATTTCTCAACTAGCCGACTAATATAAAGACGCTGAATCAAAGTCAAATTTGAGGAAGTGCACTTTTATAAAATTCCAAGTGCCGATTAGATAGTAGCATCCAATATTTACGTATGCCACAAATACTTGCCATCCCGAACCAACAGCTACACCTACAAGAATGCATGCATTTTTATAATTAAGCATTAACCATAATTACTTTTTGAATGAAGTTGATCGGTCTTTTTTACCTGATAGAACGGGTTGAACACTATTGAGAACAATGCTGACTCCCAAGAGAATTGACATATCATTAACAGTTTGAAGAACATGAGTGCTCGAGGTGAAAATATATGCAAACTCTCTTTTGAATATCACTATAAGAATACAAAATATTAATCCAATCACTGTTGATTGTACGAGTGATACTTGCATTGCGAATTTTGCTGACTTCCATTTTCCTGCTCCAAGTTCGTTCGCCACTCGCACCCTATAATATAATTTGTGTCATCATTTGATAAATTTCACTAGAATAAATTATGTTAAACATTTAATTTTTCACTCTTCGCTAGTAGAATACCTTACACGCCATCAACCAATCACATATGGATAATCTATTATGCTTCAGTATTGTTGTTACTCTAAGAAAATATCAATCTTAAATGTTTTTTTTTCAAACTAAAAAATTATTAATTTTAATATAAAGTGAATGTTTTTCGATTAAAGAGATATATACGTACAGTTGAAAAGTGTTAAATATTAATAATTTATGAAATATTTAAAAAGGATAATGGTAGAAAAAATTTAGTGTTTTCTCCATTTTCTTCTCATACGAGAGGTGAAATGAAGAATCAATTCTGTTCTATAATTTTACTTCAATTTCGATGCAAATGATATTGTAAAAATAGCATACCCGGTACCGGCAAAGAAGGCAAATGGAATCATCATTTCCCATCCATTGATAGTCATACTGCAAAACCAATTCCAATACTGTAATAACTAACAAATATAAAACTTGTAAATCTCAAATACTTGTTACTCACTAATAACTTACCATACAAACAATGCATCAACAGCAACTGTTGCATTTTCCAACTGACCTGTCATAAGCAGCAGTATCCTGTAATACCAATTCTCTAAACAAAGCATCACCCCTGAAGCTAATGACAGTTTGAAGAATTCCCAAAGGCCAGAAAATGCTTCCATTGAAAAACCATTCCAAGTCAAAGGACAACCCCCACAAACTGTGTACCCAAACATCCCAATTACCAATACCCACCATGAAACATCCAAAGCTATTGCAGCACCAATAAGCCCAAAATCCCAAACATAAACCAACAACCAACTCAATACAACATTCACCACTAAACCCAAAAGAGAAACCCATGCAATCACACCTGTTTTCAGCTGGCACTGTAGAAACCTCTGAAGAGGAAACTGAAACGCAAAACTGAAATGCAAAGGTATAAGCCATATAGCTACGATACCACTCGATTCCGCCACCTCATGAGGTTGTCCTATGAGTTTCAGAAATGGAGTAGCAAACACATAAATTCATAAAATTCATATCTACACCACAAATTCATAAAATTTACATGCATTTCAAAAAAATATAAACAATTTCTGATACTAAAATACACAAAAATACCGTCTTCTTCGAGGTCACTGCCAGAATCGTTGGGGTCATCGGAGACAGAAGGAGGAGCTCGAAGAGAATCGGTGAGGGAGTTAGGGTCATTGACGACGCCGAAGGAATTGTAGTTTTGTGTGACGCTGCCTTTTTCATCCCATTTAGGGTCTTCTACAAGGGATTGTAACAGTTTGGGAGGAATGGTGAAAGCGGGTTTCAAAACTTTAGGGTTCTTCTTTGGAAGACCCACACGAACCTTAGGTCGAGAATTCTTGTATTTTCTTCGTGAGTAGAAAAAGTGAACGCAGGAGTAGAAAGTGAATTGATGTTTTATGTATTTTAAGAGCTTTTTAACTTTTTTACGGCGACAAGTGTTTTACCGTCGTGCCCATGAGAAATTTTTAAAGGTTTTAGGTGCGACAGTTGTTTTACCATCGTGAAATGAATTTTAGGACGGATAATTTTACCGTCGTGAAAGGTTTAAGGGTGCGACGGGTGCTTTACCATCGTGATATGCCTTTTTGGACGGTTAATTTTACCGTCGTGACTAGTTGTTGGTGAAAAATCAATGTTAAAAGTGTTAAATGGGGGCCGACGGTTGTTTTACCGTCGTAATAATAATATTATGATGGTTAATTATACCATCGCAAAATAAATATTAGGGACGGTTGGTGTCAACTGTCGTAAACACTGTCTCTATATGTCAATTACGACAGTTATCACATAACTGTCACAATTTTTGTGTCGTTAAACACTAATTTTCTTGTAGTGATTAAATGTTTTCTCAAATAAAAATCCACAAGAACAAAAATCTTTTTTCTCTCACTTAGAGTTTTAGGTTATCTTTTCAACTGTCCTCGTATTTAATTCGCTGCGCGCTTGTTAATTATTTTGCCATTATTTTGTAACTGCTAAAGGTATGTAATAGCTTTAAACTAGGGTTTTTATTTACCGCTTTTCCCCCATTTTTGGTTATGTAATTAATCCCCCTCCCCGAAGCCTTGTAATAGCTAGGTTTATTTTCTCGCATTTTTTATTCCCGCAAATATTTAACTGTCTAGATGTATGCTAATAGGATTGTATGAAAAGAATGCTTGAAATTTAAAACGGTAGATCACCTAATATGAAAAGATTAAATAATTGAAACAAATCATATGCACATATTTCACTCCTAGGGTTTGTCTCACTTCGGTTTCCTTCGGTAAAACAATCATTAAGCATAGGAGATTTTAGTGGTGGCCCTCCAGTCTAAAAAGATCAAAATATCCCATTCGAATGTTGCCTCGAAAATGTTGCCTCGGAAAGATCTTAAGACTCTAGGGTTACTACAAAAGTTTTCTAACTATTGCTTTGGTGACTATCTTGTCCCTTTTGAATGTCCCTTACAAGTCCAACAACGGTGCGACCGGCTCCTTAATAGTAGGATAACACTGTCAAAAGGAAATAGAACGAACAATCTTTTTTCGAGTAGGTAGAATCTTAAGTACTTGCTCAATAATTTTCACACAAACACCTTTCAAAATAATTTTCAAAACAAACTTCATCACATCCTTGAGGACTGATACAAGGGTTATCACGAAGTAAAACATTTTCAAGACAAACACGCACCAACAATTTGAAAAATGAGCAAGTACCTAAGAGCTCGTAGATAACTATGGATAAAAAGGGTTCTAACAACTTCCCTTTCTATAATCTACCCCCCGTACTCATAATATCTCGAAAAAATCTTTTTTCTGTTCTTTTTCCTTTTCCATGATTGGATGAAATAAAAGTCGGTGGCGACTCTTGCTTACCGCGACATTTTGCAAACAAAAACGCCAAATGCAAACTGTTGTACCCCAAAATTTGCCCTCTCATATTCCTCAAAACATTGCAAGAAAAATCTCCAAGTTGCCCAAGTTTGCTCAAGAATTGTTCAGACAAGTTATCTCCTAAGGCAGTCAACTCAAATTAGGGTTTTGTGTTGTATAGTCAAAACGGATGCCATTCTGACACTCCAGAAACGGATGCCATTCTGACACTCATTCAAAACTAGCTTTCAGATACAGTTCAGATACGCTCCAAACACGAGTTCCATTCTGATAATTATTCAAAATCAGCTCCCAGACATAGTTCAGATATGCTCCAGACACGGACGCCATTCTGATACTCATTCTTTCAGCTTACAAATTACAATACAAACAATCACTTTTAGATGGAATCTTTAAGCCCGTCTCCTACAAATTTATATCACCTCTCCAAATGGAATCTTTAAGCCCATTTCCTCTACTACCACATCGCTGAGTGCAAATTTCTGGACACTCTAGTGTCCAATCATCTTCCACCTTCGAGTCACGAATGGAAAGACAGGCCCATCTAACTCTTCAGGCTTAAGAAGATTGGACAGGGGCAGCTGTTGTACCTCAAAATTTTCCCTCTCACTTATCAATAATTTTCTCAAAAGATCTCTTTTTTCACAAGACTGCATTAGGGTTGATCAGCTCAAGACACCTCCTTAAGCACTGATGACTGAAAATTAGGGTTTGAGATTGCACAAGGATTTTTGAACTTCCAATGCCCTATATGACTTTCATGGATCATTATGGACCCCCAATATTACTCATGTCAAGTTTCAAGCCTTGGATCACACTTTTGATCAGTCAATTGAATAATTGACTTAAAAATCAATTGTATTGGGGAAAAAGTCAACTATGGCCAATTTACAGTCAAACTTAATAATTTTTGATCAACATCAACATTTTAAACTCATATGTATCATTTGATCAAGTTTGGACCACAATTCCTCAAGAAAGTTGATAAAATCTCCAAAAGGGCAAAATGGTCAAAATTAGGGTTTTGACTGGGAAAGGGCAATTTCTGATTTTTGACCTAGCAAATGGTCAATTGGTTTAAGGAATTATCTCAAGAGTCCAATTGAATCATTTTTACCTAATGACATGATTCAAAACATTGCAAATCCATTGGATTGACAGATGAATTTTGCAGTCAACTGTATACTGAAAAGTCAAACTTTGACTTTTTGGTCAAATTCAAGTTCCAAAGATCATAATTCATCAAAACATGACAAAATATGAAACTTATTCATCAAGAAATCAAAAAGTCAAGATTTCATTTTGAAAAGTCAAAATTTCTAAACTTAGAAATTTTTCTAAGTGTTGGAAATTTCATATTTTTTCATAACTTTGAGCCAAATTTTCATCATGATGCAAGATGATTCAAGAGAAACTTACAGCATGAAAGTTGTATATCTCCATGAAATCTACAACTTTTCTTCACACAACTTCTTCCAAAAGTGCTTGTATCTCAAGTTATAATTTCAAGAACATAGGATCATGAAACTAAACACTTAGTGAAATTTTGCCCTAATTTGGTCAGGATTTTGACCCAACTTTATGGCACTTTTTCATATAGTTCCAAGTGGAATATTCAAAAGCAATTCAAATATGGGTTGTATATCACATTGCAAGCTTTCCAAAATGTCCAAGAACTCCTTGAGATCATTCTTGAGTAGGGAGAATCGAAGAGATGAAATTAGGGTTTTATCACTTGAATTACAAGTCATTTTGGATGAACACATGAACCAAATCAATGTTAGGATGCATAATATTTGCTTTGAAGACCTCAAAATTGTTTGTAACTCCATAATTAATGGATTACAAAAACCTTTAAGCTATAATCCAAGTGATTTAAGCTTTATCCAATTCACATTGTCATTTTGGGAAGAAAGTTAACAATACCATTCTTGAAAAGAAAGCTTTATGCATAAAGTCCATTCTTGAGACTCTCAGCTTGTTCCCTCTGATCACACTTCATCTACAAAGTCATAAGCAAGTGTTTTTAAAGCATAACCACTCTATCTTAGCAAGTACATAAGGCATTGAAACTTGTTTTCTCAAAAATCACATGTTATGCATAAACATGTAATTTCAAGTTCTGATCAACAACAAGTCTCAAAACTTGTTGCTTATAAATAGAAGCACTATTTGTGAGCTAGGACACGAGCTTGAAGACCCTTAAACTCACTCAAACTCCCTCTAGCCAGAAACTGTTTCAAAACACCAATGTTGTGCAAATTCTGACTTTACATACCAAACTCCAAATCCCCTTGTGCGTTCTTTGGCCTTTTACTTCCAAAAGCTTCTAAACATCAAATACAAACCATCCAAAGTCCATTTTCTTGACTGTAACACCTGCATCATCAAGTTCCATTTTCAAAAATAGGGGTGTGCAACTTGACTTCTCCAGATCTCCTCAACCACTTTCAGCTCAAGCTAATCATTGCATTAGCTTCCTAGGACCTCAAGGAAGCTAACTTGATCCTTCCAGCACTTTGAATCAAGCTCCTTTTCATTTCACGATTTCCAGTTTTGAGGTATTTCACTTGAACTTCTATCTCATTATTTAAGCATCATTAATGTTTATTTTGTGAAGGAAAAATGTAGACCTCATTGCCATGAAGCTGTACATATCCATAGTTTGCATTTACATGGCCTGAGCTTAGAGAATTTTAGAGTTGAAGTTTCTGAAATTTTTAGGGTTCAAATTAGGGCCAGAGAAATTCTCATTTATCTTTGACTTTTAGCTTTAGTTGTTTACATGGTTAGATTCATGAGGAAGAATCCAACAACTTTCATTTTGTCATCTTCCATTTTTGTTGAGAAATGAAGAAGTTGCAGGTACACCGGCTGGAGGTTGAAGATGAAGTCACCAGGACTTGATTTTCCTTACATATTTATTGTTTTATTTATATGAACGGATGTATAGCCACCCTAGTGGTAAAGCGCGTGCATGTTAACCTATGGGACTTGGGTTCGAGCCCTAGTGGTACCCTTTTGCCCATTTTTCATATTTTTTGACTTTCTAACATTTTTTTGCAGGCGCTGGGCCCTTTGGGCCTGGTATTGTTTTTTTACTAGATAACCCCCCTGTGGACTACTTGCACCCCTAACTCAGTTTTATTTATTTTTATTTTTATTTTTTATTCATTTCATTTTTACTCTCTTAAATATTTTTCCTAATATTAAAAAATCACAAAAAAATAGATTCATTTTAACTTAGTTTATTTTATTTTTTCTCACAAAAAAATATTTTATTTAACTACACATTATTTATTTTATGGACTAGTCTTGTAAATTAAATTAAAACTAGGTTAATATTTATTTTCTCTTTACACCCATTAAATATATTATTTTAATATAAAAAAGGGCTAAAAAATATTTTATAATACCTTAAATATTTTCAAGACATAAATATATCAAAAAAACACTTTTCTCATAAACTTATTTTCTTTTATTTTAACTAATAGATTTAGGGTTTTGTTAAAAAATCTTTTCTTAAACAAATTTAGGGTTTATTTCTTTTATTAATTATTTTTCTTTTAATTAATAATATTAAGACAAAATCCCTGTTTTCTAAAAAAAATCAAACATATATCCATTTACTTCACATTTTATATTTTTGTATATTTATTCACTTTTGCACATTGTATCCATTTAATTCCTTGTACA